TTTCAGCATGGGGGTGCTGCTGTCCATTTCTGCTGCGGCACAATTCTGTATCAACCCATCCATATTTTTTTAAAACAGGTTAAAAAGGTTCGAACCCGTTTAAATATAAAATATGAACCTGTGTTCAGCCAAAGGCAGCACCCACCTTACCCATTTCCGCCGCCAAGCTGTAATGTTAGCTCGGTTTAGAAGGGTAAGGGTGCTGGTGAAATTACAGGCACATAGGACTTGTCAACTTACGTCTCAGAGTGACAGAGTGACGGGTGCAGTGGCAGTGTCCCTCAGATCTTTGCGATTTAAAGCTCTGAGTAGCGCTGCAACTGCTATGGACAGGCGTGTATCTTTTATCATCGGGCGCACGACTCGTTCGTCCCGTCATTTGTATTATAAAAAAGCAATCGGTCGTCCAAGAGTCGAATGGCTCACCACACCGGCCCCACGTTTTGACTCGTGCAGGCAGCGTAATAAAATCAAATGATATGTGGGGTATCTACTTAGTTTGAATTAATGAAGAATAAATATGTAAATGAATATAGTATAAAATGTAAATAATACCGAGAGTCTGTTTTGTTTTTTTTTTCACTTCTGTACGGTTTTCTAAAAAGGCGATAACATGTTATTTAAAATGGTTATACAACCGTGCCGGTTGAAAATTTTCCAGTCAGATTATTGTCCTATTAGGTATATTGTATAAGCAAAAGAGATATAAGAACTGGTTTAAAGTTCAGTTCATAATAAATAATTAACATAATAAAAAAATCTGATTAAAAATTCTTTATAACCTAGAAAAACAATACTCATAATATGTGTTAACACTATTGTTCACATTGATCATATCATTAGTGACGCAGCTGATCCTGTGAAGAAAGAGCAAGTAGAACCCAAACAATACACAGACAAAGGTTCTACTTTGTTAGTAGAGCCTTTGTCAATGTATACTTAAATCGAAAGAATTTTCAAAATTAATTTACTATTGGTGTTGCAAAAGGAAGAGATCCGTTAATAGCGTGCAAAACAAGAGGTTTGTTCTGTTCGGCAGTGGGCGAGTGTGCCATGGGACAAATACCAATTCGAATAACTTGTCGCCCACGTGAACACCGTGGTCGCCGTATAAGGCCGCGGCGGCTTACGCTGTGGCCTTCGACGTATATGGCATTGGAGCAACAACCACGCGCGCGCCGCGATTCCAACGCACAGATTGAGATAGTGCTTTGCTTTGCGTTCTTAAGGGAGTTTTAAAAATCCATGTTTATTGTGGTATACCAGACTCTGTTGGCAACAGCAACGCTCGACAGCCGACGCAGGATCGGAGTAGTGCACTGACTCTAAAAATACTCATTGATATGGTCGTCCCGTTGTGAACTGAGCCATCGAACCATAAATCACAGCGACAATGCGGGCAACACGTGCAGCTTGTTGTCGATGGTCAGTTTCGTATTTATAACGGACCAAGTGGCGACAGCGGGCGATTTTAGCAAAATACTCTGTTAACAAAACTATGGTCAAGCAGAAGTTTGTCCGAGGCAAAGGCTCATGCCGAAAGGCGCGTGGGCGGTTAATCCGAGTAAGCCCTGATATAATCGTAGGATTAATTATTACAACACCAACTCCGGAAAAAACACTAATTTCTTGACCTATCACCTGACGAAAGATTGGTTTCAAACATCAACAGCCCTAGCCTCGCCATTTGAGGGTTCGAAAGTGACTTGTCAGCTTTTATAAGCTTTGTAATACAGACATATAAAGCTACATGTTCTGACTCATATGATATGCATCCGTATCGGCGTGTAGTTATCCATGCGTGTAAAAGCAGAATAGTGAGTTTACTGCAACAGTTTCGTAGAAAGGATAGAAAAGATGAATACTAGCATCTTCCTTCGTAATTTGCTTGGTTCGTAGTCTAACCTGGTTACATCATCGCTGTCGAATTGGTGAGTGCATACACTCATTATCATCACATTACACACGCGCTTTTAAACAACAGTGACGCGGTGCGCGGGAGTGCAGAGAATGTACGGAACTTTTACTTTCGCATAGTTTTACACTACGAAGTGATAGTCGCTGTTCGCATTTCAGATATACACACATCAAAAAAAGTTTGCGATCACTTCGAAAAACTGAAATCTTTTTTGTTACTGTAGATTATATTATGATTTTTTCTTCTTTTTAGATTCTTTATTTAAAAATAAATTAGAACATAAAACAATGACCCCGTTCAATTGTTTTTTCATATAAAAAGGCTTTCAGTCCTAGCTTACGCTCATTCAGAAATCTGATTTAGTCAATTATAAGCGATTCAAGATATTTTTCGCGGAAAGTTGTGATTGAAAAAATGCCAAGAGGATTATCAGAGGTTTTACGAGCTAGAATAGTAACTTTTAGGGAAGAAGGATACACCACGAGAGTAATAGCACGCACTTGCTATATCCCAATCCTGTGTCGTGGCTACGTTGCAGAGGTATCACGGAATGGGGAATTTAGCTGACCGACCCCGCAGCGGTCGCCCAACTGTTTTGACAGCTGCCCAAAAGCGCTATATTAGATTGCTGGCAGCCCGTGATCCAACAATCAACGCCACTAAAATAAAAGCAGAAGTCAGGGCCGCCTCTGGGCTTGACGTTAGCACGCAGACCGTTTGCAATTGCTTGCACCAGGCTGGATTACGAGCACGGAGGTCTTGGCGAGCTCCGCTCAATTCCCGGCAACGTCAACAACGAAGATTGCAGTGGGCTAGACTTCGGCAAAATGAAGAAGTTGAGGACGAAAACATTTGGCAAAACTGTCTCTTCGTTGACGAATCCCGAATCAGCACTCATCCAGATAACCGACGTGTCCGTGTCTGGAGAAGACCAGGCGACCGTGAAAGACAAAGAACTGCCACTGGAACAGTTCAGCAAGGCGGAAAATCGGTGTCCTTTTGGGGTGGCATTATGATTGGAGCTAGAACGCCTTTGATCCCGTATCGGGGCTTCATGACAGCAGACATGTACAAAGCAGTTGCTATTGATGATATCGTCAGACCATTCCGAGTAAACCATGGGCACCAATTTTTACTGGTCGATGATAATGCGCCCGCACATCGAGCTCAACGAGTCAATGCTGCTCTTCAAGAATACGATATCACACGATTAGACTGGCCTGCCGGCTCGCCCGACTTAAACCCAATAGAGCACGCGTGGGATGCTCTTAAACGAGCAGTATGGAACTGTGAGCCACGTCCCCAGACAGTTCCAGAGCTCAGGGAAGCCGCTATTGAAGAATGGGATAGGTTACCCCAGGAAATGCTGGATAACTTGATCCTCAGCATGCCCAGGAGGATCTTCGCATGTATTCGAGCCAGGGGAGGAGTTATTTTATATTGAATTCACACCTTTTAATAATAAATTGTTGTTTAAGTTTAATTAAACAGGTCTTTTTCTTTCTATGAAATTTCTATCACTATTACATTATGATTAATGGCTCAATTTTTTAAAATAAATAATAAAAAATAGTTTTATATTTTAATTTCAAACAGGGTATTCCTATTTAAAGAAAGCATACAACATAGATTTTATCTTGATAAAGTTAAAGTTAAAGAATTATAGGAGCTTATGCTATTGATCGCAAACTTTTTTTGATGTGTGTATGTCAAATATTTTCGTTATGTCACAAAGAGTGCTCAAATAAAAAAGTGTTACTGGAAGTCTTTCAATCTTATCCTATTGAAGGTAAAATGTGACAAAACGCATTATTGCATCGGTGTCTCGTCTGGACACTTTAATCGAGTCAGTGGAATATTTAGCTTAGCATTCAAGTTAACATTCACTAGGTAATTGAAAATAAACAATAAGTAGATAAAGCGATGGTGTAAAATTTAAACAATACCCATACATAGCTCGAGTGTGGCGCAAGCAATGTCACTCACCATTTAGTAAACAGTGGAAATCCGCTGCTCGTGGAAGGCCACTAAGCTTACAATTTAACACAAAATAAGATTTGCACTGCAATGCTCTTGCGTCGACAATCTCTCCAAATTAACAACACTCTTTTCCTTGCACCTACCTACCTGTCTGTGCCACACCAGAAGGATGGTCAATTTAAATTCAATCATTTGTTTTTGCAATACCATATCAAGTTATACATCCCAATGCTGAGCATGGGTCTCTTATAAGAAGATTGAAGTCATATGTCATATTGACACAATGCAGCCTAGAGGTTGTGACTCTAATATGAATCCATGGCTACACTTCTCTCGCCTTTAGAAGAGAGTTAAGTGCAATAATTAGATGCAAATTAAAAATCTTGATTTTTTGCGTCATTTTTGTGTGCTGTGTATGACGCCATTTAACATGACTGTGTGATCTAGTGTATTACTGTGGCCAGAGTAACAAAATCTAATTAAGATTCTAAAATTCTCTAAAATTGTACACCCTCTATTCAAACAGCTTGAGAGAATACTTGAAACGTGATTTGTCAAGTTGATGTCATAAAATGACCAATTACATAGTTTCTATAAGAAATAAATATGTGCTTGTGCTAAGAACAATGGAAAGTTGTAAGGAAACAAGCACTTTCTCAGTAAACTTCAGCACAATGAGAACTACCGGTGACCCCTACCAAGGTGCATAGCAGAACTGATTACTTTAGCCATTTTTTACCCACTCTATTACTCTTGGGCAGTGAACCGGGAACTTTATTCTCTGTTGAAAGTTTTAGCTTGGTTTGACTCACGTTTTTAATATTCTAAATGAGAAAAAATTGTAATATAGTAAAATTTTTTGTCGAATTGGTCTTTGTTGTTAATTATTAAAAGAAGGTAAAGTCTGCGCTCGGCGCGCTGACATCGTGAACAGCTGGTTAACTGCTCATTAGGGGATAATTTTCGTAATTAACTGCATTCGTTTTAGTTTCACATATTAGAGCACGTTGTTTCGAAACAACGTTTATTGAAAGTGAGTTAAGGTGTTTTGGAGCCTTTTAAACATTTTATAAAGTGGGTTGAGGGTAGTGGACGTACTTACCAGCAATTAAGCTTCTTTATTGCGGATAAATCCGACAGTTTCGTGCGAGCAATCACCATTTCCTCCGTAAGTCGCGCCATAGTCACTGCACTGCACTGTTCACATAACAAGCACCGAGTTGAGTTCTATGAAGGCGCGGGTCGACGGCTCATCGCAGCGTACGAAGACGTAGCGCCGATAGCCGACACTCAACAAAAACTGGAAAAACGACGGGACCCTTCCCTTACTCACGTCACTGATTGATAGACAAATGTCACTATCAGTTTTTTATTAATTATTTTGGCTTGGATATAAGTACTTTGAGCTATGTCTTCGTTTAATTATGTTTCTGTAAATATCACTGCCACATGGCTGTCATATGCCACAAAGATAGGCAATTTGAGGCGGCGCGGCTATAATCTAAGCGGCGCGGCGTGATTGGATTGACTCGGCATTCCTTAGAACGGGCCGATACGGGTATTTTAGTTCGAGATTCGTATAATTTCGCGTTTTAATCTTCGATTAAGGCACAATAGCACTATCCTATTCCACTTTAAACTAGATTTCACAAAATAATTGAACGTTAAAATAAAAACGACACTTTTCCCTCCAAAAGGCCCGGAGTGAGGGATTCGCCCTCACTCAGTTATATTTTATTGTCGTTCAGAATATTTTTTGCTTAAAAATAATAACTTGGCTTTCCCAAAAAAATTGTATTTACACCCTATATCTTAAATATAAAACCGATCTCCGCAGTCTTTGTATAATAATAATAATAGTAGATCTGTTCAATATGTCTCTTAGATTTCAAACTTTCAATGATATATATTTGCTTAAGGCTTCGTCTAATTGTGGTTGACAATTATAATAGTTTATTGGCTATTGAATAATATACATAAGCTCACGCCCTAGTCCCACAAGAGGGGTAGGCCACGGAACGACACGTCACTCTATAATAATATTTCTTATTTTGAGAAATAATACATCATTTCATTTCAATATAGAATCAACTCGTGTAAAAACGATTTTAATCATCCAACATTTCGTTCAGAAATTCTATGACAGCATATACGTAGTATCTCTTATTAGTTTGAGGGCTAATTCGGTGACGTTAGCAACGTAAGACTGAGTTTTATTTGTTTTCTTTAATATTTAGTGAATTTTGCCGAAAACATGGATCCAACGGATATTCTGGATGATAAGGATAGTGGCCCGGAGGTGCAGATCAACTTTCCCACCTCTGTGATGAGCAGAATTGAAGAACTTATGGGAGGGACCGAACAATTCGACAGTGCTGAAGTGAGTTGGTATTTTGAGAAATTTCACTGCACAAGCATAGAGAATGAAACTTCCCTTGAAGTGGGGCACTATCGGTTCATACTGTTAAAAACACGTGGGTCACAAATGCCCTGATCAATGCGTTGTGAACTTCTTTTGCGGTGGTCTATGTCAATCGAGAACAACTTCTAATATTGATGGCATTGATTGTTGTATAATTTTTTGCACTAGTGTTCTCAGATATGTTCTCACCAAGGGTACCGCGGCAAGAACGCGTGGTTGGACTGTAAGAAAAGGGTACTATGAAATTTTGATTAAAAAAATTGTTTTTGATATATCAAAATAGTAAATTGTAATAACATTGAAAAATTTGGATTGTCAAGTCCCTAGACAGATTTTCCCGTCTGATTTTCTTAGAAAGTATCAACCACTGAAGAAAAGTGATATAAACATAAAGTGTTTATCTAGGTGTAATCTATCCAACAAGCATTAAAACAATTTATAACAAAAAAATAATTAAAATGAAGTCCTGTCTGCCCAAACGCGTTAACTGACTTTGTAAACCAGATGATGGTAATGTCAAATTGGTAAATAAACCTTTAATTTTAAAACATTAAACCTTTTTTAAGGGTTGCTTTAAATAAATAAAGAAATATTTCAGTATTATTTGCTAAAGTATTCACACCCATTGTCAGCTTAAAACCCCAAGACAATGATATTCTTAATAAAGCTGAAATACCTCATTCCAAAACATTAAAAATATACAGTTTATGCTTCGAAGAATATTTATATTAAGTGTCTACATACACAGATCTATAGTTAATATGTTTTCCTTATAAATAAACTTGTAACATGAAAATCCTATTTTGTGTACATGTTTATGTACATAATAAAAGATTTTCTAGTTACAGATTTGTTTAATATTAATAATACAGGTTTCAATAAAGAACTTATCATTTATTTACCTATTTCAATTCCGATCCCTCTCTGAGAAATGAGATGTTATTAATTATTTCAGTAGGTCATTGTCCTCCAGGGCTCCCCCGATTAGCAAGTGCAGTAGTCACTAACATTGGTTACTTTGTAGGTTCCTTCTAGATGTAGTAGTAAATAGAGAATAGACAATAGCAGCTTTTTTACCAATATTTTTTTATGACTGAAACAGAATTTATAAATTCTATAATACTTACAACAAACATAATAAATTTTCAAATTTTTTTTATATAATGTTATTTTTCTATTTAAATTCAATGATATAAACCAGCACATTTCGAAAAAGCTTACATGTCAGTCATTGACCTACCAACAAATGGGCATCGGGTCAAACACAAAAACCACTAAAAAAATGTCCGAAGTTAACCTATACAAACATAGTAACATCTAATGAAATATAAAAAAACTAAAACATTTAAATAAATAACGCACACCCTGTGTCGCGGGTGCCATGGACACACATAGACAACCACAAATTACACCCAAACTCACGAGAGAAATAATTGTAGGTCATACAACTATTTCTCCCGGCCCGGGAATCGAACCTGGGACCTCTGTGTGGCAGTCCGGCATGGTAACCGTTCGGCCACAGACGCAGTTAATTTAATTTAATTTAGGAAATGAAACTATTTTTCCGGATTTAAATTGCGTATATTTGTTTTTTGAAACAAAATCGACAATTCTGGCCCTTTACAGGTCCCATGGTCACGGTTGACTGAGGTGGTACAGTCTTCAACCAGTTATGTCTAATATTGATACAAACCACCGTATTTTTTCACTACAGTTACAATAGTTATTAATTAAATACCTTATTTTTAATTTTACAAAGAAAACATTCCAATTTACACTATATTAATTTCAATTTCAATCTTTTCCATAATGTGTACAAGATGTTATAAAAATACAAAGATCATTTATGGACCCTGTCGGGCACAGCAAAATGAGAGGGAGGCATTTTTAATAATTTAGAATTTATTATTGAAACTACTTATATTATTTTATAATCTATATGGATATGGTGTATTTCAGTGTTATTTATTTTTAAATGACATTGAAATTATTTTTATTTATTTGTATTTATTTGATTTTTCAAGAATTTAGAAATCGAAATAATATATTATCTTATAATCGATAGGAATGTGTATTTTGGTGTTTTTTATTTTTAAATATACCCTTTTCATTTATTTGTATTTTTAATATTTAAGAAATAATTATGGAAGTAATATATTATGTTACAATATATTTGAACATGTATTTAAGCATTATTTATTTTAAAATATAAACAATTTATTCAATTTGTATTTTTAATAGTTTAAAAATACTTATTGAAGCAATTTATTATTTTATATTGTCTATGAATACGTATTTAGGTTTCCTTTTAATACAATTAATTTTTTATTTGTATTTTTTTAGTATATATTATGTGAAGTTTATCTATAATAGTTTAAATATTGTCATTGAGGTATTCTTGAACAGTATAATATTGTTTAGTTGCTAATAGATTCTTTATTTGTGTTACAAATGCTTTTTCTTTATTTAAGTGTTTGATTGGGTTTGGTAATTTATTAAAAATTTTAATTGTTATAACTAATGGGCCGGAATGGTATAGTTGTAAACGAGAGGTAGGTATTGTTAATTTATCAAGGCGCCGTAAGCTGTAACCCGTGACGCTCTCCCCACGCTTTTTGTAGAATTCAGGATATTTACGAACAAACTTGCATACTTCTAAGATGTAAATACATGGCAAAGTGAGAATTTTATGTTCCACAAAGCATGGTTTACAGCTATCTGTATTTCGAAGATTGAAAATTATGCGAATCAAATTCTTTTGTACAATGAATAGAGAAGGGGCATCTATACTATTTCCCCACATGATGACGCCATAACTAAACCATGCATAAGCGTACGCGTAGTATATAGTGAGTGATGTTTGTATATCTGTTGTCATTTTAACTACGCGTAACGCATACGCAAAACTAGAGAGTTTGGATTTAAGCTTCTGGATGTGAGACCTCCAATTTAATCGTGCATCCAGTTCCAGGCCAAGCAGAGTGACGTCGTTTACAGTTTGTATTTTTTTATTTTCATACGTAAAATCGATGTTTAAAGGACTTTTTTGATGTGGGTGTAATGCGATAATTTTTGTTTTTTGGAAATTTATTTCCAGATTGTGGTCTATCATCCACTTATTTATTAAATTGAATG